GTTCGCCTTTTCAGGAAGCTCGTCAGGACTGAGCTCTCACTGTAAGACGGTGGGTTAAACAATAGTGTCTCACCTCTAGGCTCTACACCATTTTCGTGAGAACTATTCTTTTGTGTTAAAAGAAACAAATGGGAATTCCCCGCCTCCCATTTTTAATTTTTATTGCTTTTTTTGATTGGGAGGTGAGTGTGACACGGATGGCGTTCAAGGCGCCACAATAACCAGGGCGCTGGGGGTGGGTGGGAGGTCGGGGCTGGGCCTACCCTGGGAGGGTGCTGAAGGGCAGAGCTCACTCCGGCCGCTGGTGTCCCAGCCGGCTCCGCCGCGCCCCCAGGCAGGGCGCCTGTCGGGAGCTGCGGTGGGCGCAGCAGAAGCGCCCCGAGGCCAGCTCTGGAAAAGGCGGAGTGCCGAGGGCACGTAGAAAGAACGAGGCTGCATTTGGGTGAAAACCAAGCAGCGACAACTTTATTAGTAGCTGTGACTGTAAAATCCTGAGGAAAGGTCAGGAAGGAGACACACATCAGACTATTGCTAGCAGCTCAACCTCCGGGGAGTGAGGTAAACTGAGGCAGTGGGGTCTCATTTCTTTTGTAATTTTCTAATCTGGATTTTTTCTTTCTATAGCTTTTCTTGAGTGTTTTTGGTACTTGAAAAATGTTTTAAAGTTCGCAGGCCCTGATCCCACAACTCTGGTCAAAGAATGAGTTGTTTATTGATATAAAGGGCTTAGAACAGTGCCTGGCATGCTGTAAGTGCTCAAGGAAAAGTTTTAAAAATAAATAAGGAAAAAGACTCAAACTACAGAAAAAGCCTTAATATACATCCTATCATAGTTCAGAAAGGTTTGAGGGCGGCACAACATCTCACGGGGCGCAATTTCCAGGTGGCTTCTCCTTGGGGCCTGACCCTTGGTCTCCGCAGGCTCAGACAGGCGCCCCTGGCGGGGGGGCTCTGTCTTTCCGGGCAGCCCCTCGCAGTGCTCGAGTTTACAGACATTTACAGTGAGAACTGTATCTATCATGTAGCTTGGAGTCCTCATCAACATGAAGCCGGCATTTTCTCCCTGTGGGCAGATTTTCATTCATGCGTTTAATAAACATTTATTAAGCACCTACTACGTGTCTGGCACTGTCCTAGGCCCTAGAGATACAGCGGTAAACAAAACGAAAATTCTTTTCCTACTGTTTTCATGAAGCTGATGTTCCAGTGAGAAGACAGGCAATAAACAAGTAACTACATGATGTCAATTGGTTGCACTTGCTATGAAGACAAAGAATGCCAGCTAAGGATGGGAGGTGAGGAACACACAGCAAAGAGCACCTCTGTTCTCAAGGGCTCTCAGCCCAGAGAAGTGACCAGTTTAGACAATCATCCAACAGAAATCAAATCCACAACTGGGTTGTGCTGAGGTGTTTAGGGGAAGGGTTGCCTAATTCACTGATGGAAGCAAGCGAAGGCTTCTGGGAGGAGAAGCCTGACCTAAACCCAAAAGGAAGGCGTCCAGCTGAAGCGGGGGTCGGGGCGGGCAATGGCATGGAAGGGCAGATGTAAAGGCATGAAAGGGACAGAGGACACATGGTCAATGCCAAACAGAATAAACGTGTGAGGGACAAACAAAACTAGGCTGATCCATGTCAGCTGGAAGGCTCAGAGAAGTGGATATGAGCGCACGCACAAACACACATGTGCGTGCAGACACACTCCGTGCAGGTGTCTGCTGATTTTGCCGGCCCAGGTCCTCTGTACTTCCCCATCCCCTGTGGTACAGAGGGGCAGTTCACTCTTTCCTCCCAGGGGCGAGCCTGTGACAGACTTGTCCCAGCATGCTATCCCTCTCCGCCTGTCCATGCCTGTCCATGCCTGTCCACGGTAATTACTTTACGAGGCTGGGAGAGAGCCCTAAGGTCACAGGCTTGGGGCAGCCAGTTGTCAGTCTTTTCAGTATGTATAGAGAAAACAGCAGGAGAGATTGAGGTCAACAAACAAAAAGCAGCAGAGAAAGGCAGGGCCGAGAGAGTCCTCCAGATTTCATTTCAGCCTCATGATCCAGCCATGCCTGAAGCTCCTTTTTGGACTTCCTAGTTAAACCTCCTTTTTTGCTTAAGTTAGTTAACACTGCGTCTCTGCCATTTGCATAGGCTAATAGATCCTCCTTTTGGGAAAGAGCTTCCCTGTGTGCGTGGGGTCGGGGATAGAGCGGGAAAGGGAGGTTGAATTATGTTAGAGGGTTTCTCCCATTGAGTTTGATAAGACGGTGAAATAGGTGGCTTCAAGGTGTCTGGGAGGGTGTAGAAGCAGCAATAAAAGCTCTCTGGGGTGAGGGTAAGTCAATGTTTAGGTGGACGAGTTGTATAAACCTTGTGAGTTCCTAACAATTCACTGTACAACCCTGAGTTGTCTTCAACAGAGGGCCAACAGGGAACACCGCAGCCAAACATGAAGAATGTCACCTGTTTAAACCCGCTTTGCTATTCTCACATTAATGCATCAGTCACAGATCTTTCCCAAATACATAATTTTGTAACAAACTAGTATTTTGAACTCTTTATCCCTGATACCAAAAAATGCGGTGTTCTCCAGCTAACTCAACTCAAGCAGCTGTACCCATTATGGTCCAAGTCTAGCAGATGTTACAGCAAAATAAACTGCTGTATCTCAAGAGATCACTACAGAAGCCTAAGAGCTTAGATTCTGTTGTTCACATATCTGAAAGCTCTAATCAGTTGGTCACAGATAATAATACTGATCTTGGTCTGAAACACAGCTTCAAATCTTTAAATCCACGAATCAGAAAGATGCTCATATTACATATAGCTTGGCTTAAAGGAGCTTTTGTGCACTAAGCAATGGGTCTCCTTTTGGCAGAAATAACAATACCTTAAGATTTTTTTCTTCTTTCCACAGGCATTTGCCAAATACCTATTGTGTGCCCATGGTCCCAGCACTGTGTGCCTGTGAGCCTTTCCTTTTTCTCTGAGAGAAAAGGCCAAATCTCATTTCACATGTGGCCAAATATTATTTTTTTAAACCCCACCTGAGGATATGTTTTTATTGATGAGAGAGAGAGAGAGGGAGCGGCGGGGAGAGAGAGAGAGAGAGAGAGACAGAGAGAAGAAACATCATCGATTGGTTGCCTCCCAGATGTGCCTGACTGGGGATCGAACCAACAACCTAGGTATGTGCCCTGACCGGGGACTGAACCGCAACCTTTTGGTGCACAGGATGACATCCAACCAACTAAGCCACCTGGCCAGGGCAATGCTGGCCAAAGTAAAAGCTAATTTATCACGGGACAATTTGAGATGTTATTCTTGCAGCAAGTACTGGCCCTCTCAACTCTGCTTATGCCTCTTTTCCTCCACTGCACAGGTTCACATTTCTGGGACTCCAGCCACAGAAAAATAAGAAGACCCAAAATACAAGCCTGAGAGCCTGGATTCAAATTCCAGTTCTGCCATTGGCTAGTGTCAGGATCTTGGCCAAGATTCACCTTCTGCCTGGTAAAATGGCTATAATACTTAACTATTGCTCTGGGTTGCTGGAGGGATTAAATTAATTAGGATATGTAAAGTGCTTGGTACAGTGTAAGGCGCCTAACAAGTGCTCAATAAAAAGAAGCTATAATTAATAAAGTGAGGCCTTAATTTCTTTCCAATTCTATGATGTTGAGGTCTACAGTAGAGAGGTTATGAGTTTTGAGATTTTCTTCCCACCTATGCCCCTCCCCCACCCCATCTGCTTTATCATACCTGGCAGAACAGCAAACATCCTAAATAGCAAAAAGCTCTGTTTCTCAAGCAGCTGTACCTTCAACGGAGGGAGGGAGCAAGTTCAAGTGCCTGGGGGCAGTGCCCTTACTAATAATAGCTGGACACTTCAAATTCTGACAGCAACCCCGCAAGGTAGATAAAATTATCCTCATTTTGTAGATAAGACCAAGTAGGAGTGGAGAAGCTAAATAATTCACTCAGTGTCATACAGCTGGTAAACGGCAGGCCTGACTCCAAAGTTCATGCCTCCTTCCACTGCCCCCCCCCCCCATACAGCAAGCACTGAACTGTTTGTTAAATAATGAAATAATGGAAAAGATATTCCAGGACCTTTGAAACGATGGGAACAAGCCTTGTTGGGTAAAGAAGTAGTTGGCATCATCATTCACATTTGCTCGACAGTTTCATGCTCCTGTGTTCCCTGCTCCCAATGCCACAGTCACTGTGCAGACCTGTCTCCTCTTGGCCGCTTAGACTCTGTTCCCTCAGCTAACCTCATGCTGGGACCCTCCACACGCATTTAAAATGAAAAGAGACAGGTGTCTCTTTTGGAAGGCAAGTTTCCCAAACTCTGTCACCAATATGGAACACCTAAGGCAGTTTTACCTTCTAACAGGGCGCAAGAATCATGCCAAGGAGATGAAGGATGGGAAGGTGACGCAACTAGGCCTCCTGCACCAGGGCCAGACCCAGGCAGAGCACGGCAGCCGTGACCCCGCCGTGGGCTCTTCACGGCGGCCGCCTACGCCATCCCTGTGTAAGGCTTGCCAAGGGCGGCGGATGTTATCCCAAGGATGCGGCGCGAGCCTCTGCAGCTAGGACGACACGGCTGAGGAAGGTGCGCACCAAAACCAGTCGCAGGCGCCTCGCGATCCAGTTCCTCTCCGAGGCGAGAGGGAAACAAGGGCCTTTGGTACCCAGCTATTGGGCTCCGGCTGGCACGAGCGGCGGAGCATCCGTGCGCAGCTTCTGCCGCCCACAGCCGCGCACACTCACGAGCGCGCACACACGCACAACAGTACACGGGCCCAGGCGCCCGCCTCCCTGGCAGGCTGCAAGCCCAGCCGCGGCCCCCAGCCCCCGCATCCCCACGCGGCCCCGCGGCCACCCTCGGAGCCCACCCGGGAGCCTCCGCGCTACCCCTTCCATCAGTGTCCGAGCCTGGAGAGGCGGCGCGAGCCGAGCGCTGGGCCCAGGAAGGTGATGGCGAAGAAGGAAAAAGCCTCTTACCCGGTCTTGTAATTCTTCGGAACGCAGCCCACAGCAGAGGCTGCCACAGCCGCCGGACCCTCCCCCCGCCCGCCCCCACCACGTAGCCCTCTCTACCTTCAGTCAGGAATCAATGGCCCGGACGCGGCTTGGTGACATCATTGGCGCGCCGCGCGTGGGAGGGAGTACCACGTGATTCCTCCCTCTTTTGTTTGCGTCCTAGTTAAGCTAGGATTTTGTTGCTCTCTTCCTTTTTACCGATCTGTTAATGGCATTGTCGGCACGTTGGGGAGTAGGTACTTGGGTGTGGGATGCTGCCTTTTTGCTCATAGCCTTGATTAAACCTCTCAGTCATTCATAACATAGTCGAGCCTCAGGGCTTGGAGGTATGTGCGTACCGTACTCACATATATTAAAATATATGTTTATTTAAGTGGACTTCAAGTACAAAGAATTAGTAAAGCACTGTAGTCAGTAGTCTTTGGGAGCCCTTTTATATTAAATTATTTTTTTAAATTATGTAACGAACATCCCCTTAACCCGCCACCTCGCCACCATAACCCAAGAAGTAAAATATTACCAATAACATTCTCCATCCTTTACCACTGCCTCGCCCTCAGAAATAGTCTCCATGATCTGGCTTTACACAACTCTTACATTGCTTTAATTTAGTTTCACATTTATGTGCATTATTGAGCAGTATATTTTAATTAGTTTTTGTGGGTTTTGGAATTTTATCTAGTGTTCTGGACTTCTATTTTCACAAACATGTTACTAAATGTGTTAGTCAATCCGAGCCCTCTAACAAAATACAAGATTCGTAAACAACACAAGTTTACTATACCCTTAGTTCTGGAAGCTGGCAGCCAAGGTGCAAGCATGGCGGGTGACGGCCTTCCTCCAGGTGGCCGACTTCTCCTATGGAAGAATGAACTAGGGATCTGTCTGGGTCTCTTTCATGGGAACATCAATCTGGTTCTTGAGGGTTCCACCCTCCTAACCTAAGCACCTCCCAAGGCCCCACCTCTTAAGACCATCTCATTGGGCATTGGGATTTTAACATGAATTCTGAGGGGGCATAGCATTCAAACCATAGTACCAAGATTCATCTTTCTTGTTGAGTGAAGTTGTTTCACTCATTTTCCTTGCTACATAACAATCTATTATGTGACTGTACCATAATTTATCCATTCTCCAGAAGCTAAACATTTATGCAATTTCTATTTTTTTCTGCTATTTCCACCAGCATTGCCTTTTGGTGCTTCTGTACAACGATTTATCGTGAGACCTGACTGGTGTGGCTCAGTTGGTCGGCGTTGTCCTGCAGAGCAAAAGGTCAACGGTTAAATTCCTGGTCAGAGCACATTACAAGGTTGCGGGTTTGGTTCCTGGTCAGGGTGCGTGCCAGAGACAAGCAATTGACATTTCTCTCTTACACTGATGTTTCTCTTCCTGTTTCTCCCTCCCTCCCAAGAAGGAAGGGAGGGAGGGAGGGAGAAGGAAGGAAGGAAGAAGGAGGAAGGGAGGAAAAGAGAGAAGGGAAAGATTAGATAGCTTTCTCTTAGGTATATTTACCTAGGAGTGGAATCGGTGGGCCTTGGATATGTCAGTGTTTAACTTAATATGATATATCAAAACTTTATTCCAATTGGTTATACCAGTTTACAATTCTTCCAGCATCCATATCATCTCTAACACTTCAGACTTCTTGATTTTTAGCAATGAAATTGGAGTTAAATGGTGTCTCATCCTGGCCTTTGTTGGCATATCCCTGACATTAAGCCATCTGCAGCTCCTTTTCTATGAAATGTAAGTGTTCAGGGTTCGAGGAATTTCAAGGCAGAGCAAGGAAAAATATGACCACGAGGTGGCAGTAGCATTCATAAGCTTCACTTGGATGATCTTTGACGGTTCTGCGTGCAGAAGTCCCTTGCAGAACCAGTCGATGCTAAGACTATGTATGGGGGGGAGGGTGGCAGGAACACATCCATAAGCAGAGAAGGGCAAGGAAATCTCCAGACATTTAAAAGAAGTTGCTCAGAAGGCCAGCAGGAAGTCTGGGTCAGAAAGCTCTGAGGGCATCAGCAGCTGGAGGACTTCACAACCATAAGGTTTATCTTATCTATGACTAGGATGTACTGGGTACAGTTTCGAGAAGCACGCAAAGCAGGTGAGGCAGCTCTAAATGGCTAAAAACCTGCTTGTTGGGGCCATGTTGAAAACAACTGGATGGGGGAGAGGGGTTGCAGGGTTGGGTGAAAAAGGTGAAGGGATTAAGCAAAACAAAACAAAACAAAAAACAAACGTCATAAATGTAGACAGCAGTACGGTTAGCATTGCGGGGTAAATGGTGATGGAGGGAGACTTGACTTGGAGTGGTGAACACACAATACCCTACTCATATGATGTATTATAGAATTATATACCTGAAACCGATATAATTTTATTAACCAATGTTACATCAATAAATTCAATAAAAAAGTTTAAAAAACAATTGTAACAATTTTTAAAAACCTCTTGGAGTGAGCCAGAGTAAAAGAAAAGCAATTAGGGATATCAAGTATGTTTTGTCACAAGTTTTCACTTCCTTTATTAAGAAGATATGTATATTTTTTGTTTTATAGATTTATTTTCAAAGGGCAAAAACACTTAGACAATTTAATTACAAGTGTAAACAGAATTACTCTGTCAATGTCAGCAATAATGCCAAAATGTGTTCTGGACACTCGCCAGTCTCTTTGGAGGCGTCTGTCCATGAAGAAAAGGGGTCTGATACTTTATACATACACATCCTTCTTATCTTCAGTGTAATCTACAATTTCTTGTGGACATACCAGCTGCTCCACATCTCTAACAAGAATTTCAAACCCAAATTTCTCCTCCACGGTCATGATAATCTCCACTCGGTCCAAACTGCCTAAGCACAGTTCTTTCATAAAATGGGTATTTACCAAGAGATTCTCTGGGTCAGTTTTGTCACAGTTTCAAGATGTAGAGAAGAGTGTCCTCGATCCCCTCTAACGTCAGAAGGGGCGCGTCACTCTACTGGTGGCTCAGCTGTGTAACTCCATCTGCCGCCTGCATGAGGTCAGGCCTCGTCTGCCTTCCTGTGGGGCACAGTGTGGTGCTGAGTGGCCAGCATGGGAACCCAGGGCAGTGACCCCAAGGCTGCGGGCAGTTGGCAGACGCAGGAGGAAAGGACATGAGCCACTATGGTTATGCCAACCCAGGCTGCACTCACTCTGGTTTTAATTTAATATCAATATCTTTCAATATTTGTCATGTTGATCAAGAGATCAAGACTGCATTGAATAAGACACTGACTGATCTGTTCTTTGTTCACGGATTTTCTGAGCTTTTTTTTTCTATTCTTCTGATGATAAGGTTTTAAAAAAATTTTTATTTTAAATTATTTTTCTTTTTAAAAAATTGATTCTAGGGAGAGGGGAAGAGAGGGAGGAACAGAGGGAGAGAAACATCAATCTGCTGCCTCTCGTAGGCTCTCCCTCCCCCTACCAGAACAGAACCGGCAACTCAGGCACATGCCCTGACCGAGAATGAACCCGTGAACTTTGGGTTTACAGGACAATGCCCAACCACCTGAACCACAGAGCCACACCAGCCAGGGCTAATGGTTCATTATTTATTATATATTTTTTCATTAGCATTTATCCCCTTTATACCCTGTTCCACCTCCAACCCCCGACTCCCCCAAACCTCCACCTGCACCTCACACTGCACTGTTGTCGGTGTCCATAAATTTTTTCTTTTTTGTTCAATCCCTCCACCCCCTAGCTCTTTATCTGTGAGTCTGTCTCTATTTTGCTTGCTAGTTTAGTTTGTTCATTAGATTCCACATATGTGTGAAATCATATGGCATTTGTCTTTCTCTGACTGACTTTTTTCACTTAGCATAATGTTCTCCAGGTCCACCCATGCTGTCACAAAGGGTAAATTTCCTTTTTGTTTTTTATGGTCAAGTAGTATTCCATTGTATAAATGTACCATAGTTGTTTTATCCACTCATCTACTGAAGAACCCTTTGGCTGCTCCCAAATCTTGGCTATTGTAAATAATGGCGCAGTGAACATATGGGTGCGTATATTCTTTTGAATTAGTGTTTCAGGTTTCTTCAGGTAAATTCCCAGCAGTGGAATCACTGGGTCATATGGCAGTTCCATTTTTAATTTTTTGAGGTAACTCCATTCTGCTTTCCACAGTGGCTGCACCAATCTGCACTTCCATCAACAACGCAGAAGCATTCCTCTTTCTCCACATCCTCGCCAGCACTTTTTTGAAATTTATTAATGATAGCCATTCTGACAGATGAGCAGTGATACATCATTGTGATTTTAATTTGCATTTTTCTGATGATTAGTGACATTGAGCATCTTTTCATATGTCTCTTGGCCATCTGTATGTACTTTTCGGAGATGTATTCAGGCCCTTTGCCCATTTTTAAATTGGATTTTTTTTTTTTTGGTGTTGAGTTTATTTAAAAAAATTATTTATTTATTTTTAGAGAGAGAGGAATGGAGAGAAAAAGATATGGAGAGAAACATCAATGTGTGAAAGATACATTGATTGGCTGCTTCTCGCATGCCCTCAACTGGGGACCTGACCCCAAACCCAGGCATGTGCCCTGACTGGGAATCGAACTGACAACGTTTTGGTCTGCAGGCCAGTGCTCAGTCCACTGAGCAACACCAGCCAGAGCTGGTGTTGAGTTTTATAAGTTCTTTATAAATTTTGAATATTAACCCCTTATCAGATGTATCAGCAAATGTTTTCCCGTTCTGTGGGTTGTCCTTTCATTTTGTTGGTGGTTTTCTTTGCTGTGCAAAACCTTTTTGGCTTGATGTAGCCCCATTTGTTTATTTTTTCTTTTGTTTTCCTTGCCTCAGGAGATATGTCAGAAAAAATGTTGCTGCCAGCAATGTCTGAGATTTTACTGCCTATGTTTTGAGCCTAACATTTAAGTCTTTAATCCATTTTGAATTTATTCTTGTGTGTGGCATAAGATGTGGTCTAGTTTCATTTTTCTGTACATATCTGTCCAATTTTCCCAACACCATTTATT